TGTTATTGCACTTAAATAGCTACAAATCCATTTCTATTCATAACATTAATCTATAAATGTACAAAATCTGAAAAAACCTTTCAAATGAAGTACAACATGTGACACTGTTTGTCACTGCAACGTCATGTCAGCTACCCGTATTTTTAAACTACCTCACAGTCCCTATGTGGCACAGCCCATAGCCTTCCACTCCTGTATATAAATTTGACCTCACACTCCAACCCAGAGGTCTCGACCTTAAAGCAGCATCCTTCATCCTTAAGCTGAGCAGAGTGTCTCTGAGCCAGCGCCTGTAGCTCATCCCAGCCGTTACTTTCTCCCTCTCTGACCCACACTTTCCCTCCTACCTCAGCCAGAACGTTGCAACCGCACCACTGCATGTCACGCAGCCCTTCTGCTTTGAGCAGATACATACATGCGCAGCGTGGTGCGCACACCTTGAAGAGCCCCCTTCCTTCTTCGTAGCAAAGGCAGTACAGTCGTACCAGGAATGAAGTGGGTTCTGACATGATAAAACAAAGGACCTCCTCCACCCCATTGTCGATGGCGACAGGCCCGTGAACCCTGCTGACGGAAAACAGCTTTGCGGGACCGAGAATTCGTACCGATTCGAGAATAAATTGGAAGTTGTGGTGCTCGCCGAGTTGTAAGTAGCCCTGTAATTCGGAGAGGGTCTCCTGGTGGAGCTGCATGAGAGAGCCCAAGCCCAGCTGCGCAGGATTGAACTCCAACACTGAAAGCAAGCGATGGTGAACTCCCGCGTCAAAAACATCAGAGTTAAAAGAAGGATTTGACAAGACAAACCGCACATGCTGAATGACCGTAGCAATGGGCGCATTTGAAAAGTCAACGGTGGTTCGTTTGGGCTGCACTACATCGAGGAGACGTGCGATACGAACGCACACCTCCAAGTACTGTCTAGCAAGAAGAGTTGCGTCCTGGTCCGCAGAGGATGGAACCATGCTGCTCAGAGCTTTACGGATGACCCGCGCAGAGACACCCTGGAAGGAAGTGACCCGGTGTAGCCTGCTGGGCCTGCAAGAAAACAAACCCTCAACTGAAGAGGACAGCTGGAGGCCTTCCTGGAGGGGATGCAGGTCTCGTAGCACCTGAGCAAGGACTCTCACGCTCTGCAGCAAACTCTCAGCATCCCCGTCGCTCCAGCACTGCTCAACTTCCTGCAGCAGTGCGGCCTCCACTCTGCCACTGGCACTCAGCTGCTCGATCATACCTAGTATGCCTCCGCTAGGCTTCGCCTCCGGCTCCTCCAGAACCTCTGC